CAGCCTGCATAAGCAGGTAAATTCACCTTCATCGGGCATATGGAAACTTCATCGGCTAGCTGCGAGGCATTGTTGGGTAATCTGAATATCGTCACCTACGTGCCTGACCTCCAGGAGTCCAGAGGACGGGGATATTTCGAATAACTCTTTATTGGGAATAACGCTTCTGCTTCTAACCTATCTATTAAAAAAGTTCAAAACACAATACTCGAGGCCCACGCCCTCACAACCTTCCCACCTTTCAGGCCCTTCCTTTCAACAATACTAGCTATGTCTGGCTATTCAGAGGTCAAAGAATCCGATGAATTCTCAAGCGAAGACCCCTTTTTGACATCACCCTCACGGGAGCGTCCAAGATGGAAATTCGTCTTTCGGTTGCTCCTTCAGTCCACAATCGTGTGTTCTCTTTGCCTGGCGTCGTTCTTCATAGGAGCTGGGAACGCCGACAGACCTAATGAAGTGGCATGTGTCGACACTGCTTGGGGTTAGTAGGAAAAAAATCCTTCGCTTCAAGTTGTACTTTAGCAGCTTGATTACTGACTGCCATCTGTATGACAGACAAGGTCCGCGAGGGAATCTCGTTCAAGATGCATGAGTTCAATCCAAGATTCGGGGGCCGTCCATCCCCATATATGGGTCATCCCAACCCGGGTGTCGACAAGCTTTGGTATCACCTTGCTGCCTGTAAGTCACAAATCCACGAGCTCTATCAGTTTGAGGAGAAATGCTCACTTATTGCGACAGTGCGCAACTTTGGAGTTCCAAAGGAGGTCCTGGTCACCATTAACAGAACCCGTGACGCGGTGAAGCTCCCTGGGAATGACGGTTACATGGCGGGTATGGAGGCCTTTCACCAGTTACATTGCCTAGTGAGTACCACAGTGATGTCCGATCAGCCCCGATTTGAATACTATAACAGACCACCAAAACTGACCGCATAGCGAATCCCAGAACTATATCCGCATGTACACATACATGGACCACTACGAAAAGATAGACACAGACATCAAAGCAGAGACCATGGAAGAGCGAAGGGAGCATGCAGACCACTGCGTCGAGACCCTTCGCCAGCGTCTGATGTGTAACCCCGATATGAACATCTACACCTACCACTGGATGGACGGGTACGATATGCCGGCGGGAAATCTGTTCTCAAGGCATAGATGCATCGATTGGGATCGTTTCGATGATTGGGCGGGGGACAATGCGCTGCATTATCCGGCTCCCACTTCTCGGCCTGAGGGCTTCGAGGTGTGAAGGTAGGCAATTATAGAATCATAGATTATCAGACTCTTCTTGGGGATATCAGAACTTGGAGGAATCTACATAGTAGAGGGGGTTCGATACCAACTTGACGAAGGGGGTTACGTTTGTAACTGAGGTCGGTGATGTAATCATCCCGCTAGATCAGTTACAGAACCATTTCGATTTGGAGGAGGAGCAACCCAGCAGGAAAGATCATGGATCTATCCGTGTGCTGGACCGGAAGAAGTGGGTCGTTCAGGCCATAGCCGCGGGAATGCGCCCGGGAGTGGCGGCTCTGATTGAAGCCATGGACGACGGTGAGGGTGAGTGGCCGGCATTGCTTAAAGGGGACAGCGATGTTGCATGAGTTTGAAGGTTCAGCTCTGCTCGGCCGTCCAGTGTTTGAGGTGGTATCCAATCTTCCTTCCATATTCTTAGTACTTCAGTATTTGTTTTGCTTTCAATGTAAAAAGATGATATTAATGACATTCAGGCAGCCATAGTCTAGTTCAAAAATGACAAAAAAAGGCAAAAGAATAAACATACAACACTGGGGATTCGCTGGTCATCACCGACCCAACTACTAGTCCAGCTATCAGTAGCTTATCTATAGAAGAGCAGACAGGATCCCGAGTTTTCCACTACATATAGTCGTATATACCAGTTATTGTCAGCAGACCGTTCAAGTATAGAAATAGGGTAGTACAGTGATGTTGTATTCACAGTGTTCACCAGGGAAGTCTTCTAGTATTAATTCTCGTTATTCGTTACAGACAAACTACCTACCTATCCTACCAGCCCTTTGTGCCATTTCAGGCCTAACGATGTTAACTGGACCAGCCAGTCATACTCTCAATTCCCTTACCACTAGACCGGTATGATAATTCTTCCCAAGTTCCCATCCGTCAAACCACCATCACAACCATTCTGCCTGTCCTCTTCACCCGGCACTCAGTAAGGAGGATTCTGTCCATGTCCCTGTCCCTGGCTTGGATTGTAATAATCATGCGACTCCCCGCCAGGACGGTATGGCTGGGGGGTATAGCCCTGGCCCTGGCCCTGGTCTTGGTGATGAGGAGGACCACCAGGGGGAGGTGGCGGGTAGTGTTGTCCGCCATGCTGCTGGGCAGGCGTCGAGTCAAGTTCTGCAGCGGGAGGTCGGTACGGCTGGTACTGATGCGATGATCCAGACGAGTGTTGCTCCTGTTTGGGAGGAGGATAGCTCGAGGTTGGCTGCTGAGGGTGCTGCGGGCCTGGACCCTGGGATGGAGGACGGTAGGCCTGGTCCTGCTGCTGGTAGAGATTTTGCGTTGGATGGCTTGAAAGCGGGGACGGGGAGGGAGGCTTGTAACTTTGCTGGTGCTGCGAGGGAGCGGGACTCTGTGGGGAATAGTTCTGCGGAGGGGGCGGTGGGTAGTTCTGAGTAGGCGGTGGCGGGTATGTCGACTGAGGAGGAGGAGTGCACAATGGCTGTTGAGGAGGAGGAACATGCGAAGACCCGCCCTGCTGTGGAGGGGGCGCGTACGAGGTCTGCGGCGGGGGCACATGAGAGGATGCCTGCTGAGGAGGAGCATATGACGTCTGCAGAGGAGGCTGGACATTCGATGATGCTCCCTGCTGAGTAGGAGGAGCAAACGACGTCTGGGGAGGCTTTTGCTGCGCAGCCGCAGGGATGGTCTGATGGCCGCCGCCCAGCTGGATATTGTTGGTCGGTGCCCCAACACTAACACCCTCGTCGCCAATATCATCTGGCACGGTGATCTTGACCCTGGGCAGGTACTTCTGTACCTTTTGCTCGACCATGTTCTGCACAAACACCCAGCTCTGCCTCTCGAACTTGCGATGTCCACCGTTGACCACACCCAGAATGTTCTCACGCAGCATCTCCTGCACCTTCTTGATAAGATTGCGGATCTTGCTGAGCAGCGTAGTCTTGATTTCGCCGAAGCCACGATCAGTGGTGGTCTCGCGATCCAGCTGCGAGTCGAACGGATTGCCGCCCAGAATCTTCTCCAGCGGCTTCTGGAACTTGTCGGGGAGCAGCTCAAACAACTTCTTCTCGATCTCGGCCAGGATCTTGCGGAACTCGAGACGGACCTCCCGATGGACCCTCGCCAGACCGGTGCTCAGCTTCTCGCTCAGCATCTTGGAGAAGCCGATGCCTCCCTTTTCCTCACCGCTAGGACCAGCACGATCGCTATCGCCACCAAGGCCTCGGGAAGTGCCCTCGTCGTGATGTTTCTTGCCAAACAAACCACCAAGTCCCTTGACCAGACCTTTGACCTGGTCCTCGATCTCGCCGCGGGCACCGTCGCCCAGATCCCTCGTGGTTGTGTTTCCTCTCAGCCACTTCTTGATGTGTTCCAGCGCGATTTTGGTGAACCTCTCGGCAATGGGCTTGTGCTGCTCCCTCATCTCGGCCGCCACCTTTTCCTTGATCTCGGGAGTAATCATCCGGGCTTTCTCCTCAGGGTTCTTGGCGGCGTCCTTGACAGTGTTGCTGATGACGCCGAGCAGTCCGTCGAGCTCAAACTTTTGACCACCCTTCTTGTCGAACTGGTCTTGGACCACATCGACCGCGGCAGTGAGGAAGGTTTTGAAGCCATCACTTTTACCTCCACTAGCCCCTGCAACGCGATCCCGTGCATTGGTATTGCCATATCCACCGCTTCCCTCGGTAAGATCGAAAATATCCCTCAAGTCATCGCTTGCGCCGCTGGCCAGGCCGGTAAAGCTCCGGGTGAGCTTGGAGATCTCGTCGGCGAAGGGCAGCGACTGGTTGCCGTACGAGTCGGGGACGCCAGAGTCGAGGCCGCGCTTTCCGGACCCGTCGTCGTCTTTGTTGAACAGCGAGCGGAAGGCGTCGACGATCTGGTCTTCGAGGCTGTCGATGGTCTTGGTCTGGAAGGTCTCGAGCTCGGCTTCGACGCGGGGTTGGATCTGGGGGGCTAGCGAGTCGACGTACTCGTCCACCTTTTTCATGAGGACCTCGGGGAGGTGATGGCCGGACATGATGGAGGTTTCTACTTTCTGATCGTGATTGCTAGTAGAAATGATTCGGCTTGTTTTAGGGATACGAAAGTGTTGATGCTGTGTCTTGGACCAGGAGCAACTTAGCAAGTGAACTTGAAGTGATCACTGATGGAGCCCTGAAACGCGGGGGGTCAAAATGCCCAGAGCCCAGCTTCACGCCAGACCCTCGGGTTTGGGCGTGCGTTGGGCTGACGTCAGGTTTCACAGTTTCAGCTTGATAGCGCTGCCAAGCGGACTAAAAAAGCCTCAGAGTTCCACCGGCAGCGGAGTTCAAGACCTTTTCCTTTTCGTCGCAGGCTTGAGTCGCATTTTCGTATTGCATTCCCTTTTCGGTGCGTTATAATCGCCAAAGGATAGCGTATCATGGCGAAATCTTAGAGGCCTCCAGGCATGGACAATCGCAACGTTGGTGCCTGGGGAGTTTTCATCATTCACTCGACGTCGCGAGGCGACCCATGAACAGATCCGGCCACAAGCTGGTATCAACGTTATCACGGTATCCGTATCCGTACACGGCCCGGTATTCGGTACCCTTTCCCCTTACCGGCATGTCTACAAACAATCCACCTGTCGGCCCAGCATCGCAAGCTTTGAGCAAACAAAGACAAACCTCATGACTCATGCCGCAAAATCCACTTATTACCCTTGGTCCAACCACGGGAAGGGCGAAGAAAAACCCTCATATGGAACCACAAACTAATCAAAGATAATTCAGAGGATCCGCCCGGCTAGCTCAATCGGTAGAGCGTGAGACTCTTACTTCCTGTACCAACAGGTTAGAACGGATATCTCAAGGTTGTGGGTTCGACCCCCACGTCGGGCTCAATTCCCGGCGGCGATTCCTCTGAATTCTTTTTTAACTTTTCCTTTTTATCTCGCTTTTCCATTCGAGTTTATCCTGTTTCACTCCCTCGGTCAAGACTTTTTGGTCTGGCCCGTTACAAGGAGAGTCGCGGCATCACAAGGCAAAGCCACCTACATCTTCAGACAGACCATATAAATCTCATATGCACATCACAAGCCCTCCTTGGCCGGTTCCTCATCACATCACATCGTGCCCTTCCAAGAAACGATAATGCAAAATTGGTTTAACGAAAGTCTATCCAGCAAAAGCCAACGCTCCCATATGCTGATGTTTGTATTACATGATGAAAAGAATGCTATGGGTATCTCGTCTCATCTCGTGGTCGTCATCGTCGTCTATGTATTTTGCCCGTCTCCCACCATCTGCCCCTTATGCACATATAAACGAAGGTTAATCCCCCAGCGGCGCAAAATAATCCTTCTCAACCATCCACTGATCGCCCAATTTGAGTTTGGCACCATCGATCAAATCACAATCCTTGTGGCCCCATTTCATACGATATATCCTCCGGCCCGTCTCAATCATGACCTCAATAGCATCCTGCAGCCCCTGCGCGTTGTAATAGAATGGCTCGCCTTGGCCACCGCGCTGGCCCATCTGCCAGACGTACCGCTCTCGGGTCCCGCTGTTCTTGTACCGCACCATGGCGTGTGCTGTCTCTTCCAGGGCGCGAAATTTGGCTATCTCGGGGTCGGGTTTCTCGTCTGCGTCTCGTTTTGGTGATTGGTGCGTGCTGCTGCTAGCATTCATCGTTTCGGCCCCAGCAAACCTCGTCCTCCTCCACGGGTCATTCTCATCCCTCTTCAATATCGGTCTTTCCTCCTCCTCTGGTGCATCTCTCCTCAACTTTCCCCCTTTTTCCGGTGGCGGGGGATTAACATCACAGAAATCAGGCTTCACCTCCTCAACCCTGTACAAAACCCTGAGATCGGCCAAGCTCGAACCAACATCCGTAATCAGCCCCGCCCGAGCATCTTTCAACGACCACCCGCGCATCGTCAATCGCGTGTGCATATCACAATCCGTGTTGTAATACGGGATCATGGTATCCCACCCGCCGACATCCTCATACGCCTCTGGGTTGACCAGCGCAAGATGATCGTACGCAAAGAAGCGGATCCCCCAGCGCGGATCAGTTTCCCTCGCTTCCTTTAATGCTGCTAGGGAGAGCTCGTAGATGGTCTTGTATCCGTCTTCGTTGTACCGCGGTAAACCGTCACCTCCGTTTTCCAAGGAAAAGGCGAGGACATCCATGTGCGACCAGAAAAAGTAGGGCCAGTTGTGTTGGTACGTCAGCGAGTGGTAGAAGTTTTGTAGCTGGGCGAAGGATAATAACGCCGGGGTTTGGATGATGTTTACGCCCAACGTCTTGAGTTGCGTGTGGTTGAGGTAGAATGGATTTTGGAGGGTCAGCTGATTCCGGGCATTGGCTTGTTGTACCCCCGTGTTCTCGATTACATAGATTTGCGAAGCTGGCCATCCCGCCGTGATGTAAGACGTTACTGCTTGTAAGAGGAGAGGCCAGGCGCGGGTGAAGCCTATTAGCAATGGCGGTGCGAGGGGGAGGTCGTAGGATCTGTGCAGGTTTCGCTTTGGGACGTTCCAGGGCGGGATCGGGGGAAGTTTTGTTGTGGTCTGGAGGAGGGGGAAGTTATCTTTTATTGGTGGGGGGGCATATGTCGGTGGTTTTTTGTAGATTGGTCGTTGTTTTTGGACCTGGGGAAGGGAATCGTGGAGAGGGCCGAGAACGATGTCGTCGAGTCCTCGGTTTCCGGTGAAATGCTGTAGGGTGGTTACTGTGAGGAGGGCGATTAATGCGATCGTTATTATGCTCAGGACTTGCCGCTGGCTCGGCATGGTTATTAGCATTGTTGTTTTGGTGAAAAGGGGTTGGCGATGGCACGGCCTGGACCGGCGCACCACCCCGACGACGATGTGTGCCCAATCCGGCGGTCAATTGATGGCGTTGAAATTGTTCGGTGTGATCAGGGGACTTTGCCGTCTGGTCGGTACACCCAGGCCCCGACCCAAGCGGTCGGTTTTCTCCTTTTCTCCGTGATCGCAGATCTGGGCAGGAAGATATCTCCGAATGGGCGTGGTAACCTCCCGCTTCCTTGCTCGATGTAAGCTCGACGTGTCCTCCTTTTCTCAAGACCAAATGCGCCAACAGCTGCCAAGTCAAATATCAGATCGACAAATGCGCGAGAGCTCAGGGGTCGTATGCGTCCAGGTCGATGTCGAGGTATTGCCAATGTTCTGTTCGGTCGTAAGCTCTCCCCTCTAACTTTTGAGAGACCTCGGGTAATAAAGAAAAAGAACGTTTCGGGCCCGGGACAGAGAGGTCCTCAGTCTTTTTATTAAAATCTCACTTCCTGTGCAATGTACCGGGGTCTGTCAGCCCATTACCTCAACCCCTGCGACAGAGCCCCCAAAGGAGTGACATTTTACGGGGAAGGATGGTGACACAAGGATTCCCCATTTCCATATTCATCGTCTAGATCCTGCGAAAATAGTTGCCAACAGTTAAAGAGACCGTCTGATTTGCTACTCGCCGTGACGCAGGTCAAAGAGTCTGCGACTGGATGAGGGGTTCGTGTAACCTGTCACCGAACTCGAGCCCGATCCCGTCATGACTTGTTTGGTCTGATTTGTTTCGTACCGTTCTTCCACTTGCTCCTCCGCTTGCGCAATCCCGTGCCATCAAGTTAGGCATCAGCATTTCGGTACACACCCAAGCCGGGCGTTGCGTAATTTCAAGACGTGCATCCCACCTTACCGGATCCTGCTCGGGGCTGCCCCGCATTTAAGGCCTTTGCAGGCGGAGACAGGCCAGGGGTTCGCTGCGACTTTCGTGGGCTCAGCCCAGAAGCCAAGACGCTAAATAGCATCAATCTGGGGCTTGTCTACGCCTGTAAGCCGGTTAGTCTTCCGAGGGGATGGTGTTATTCAGGGTCTCTGCACCCCAGGTTGAGGCTGGGAAGCAGTTGTCAGTTACTTTGAGTGAGAGGAAAGAACAAATCATGAAAACAGGAATGATCAGAGAAAGTTCTTTGTACTTATAAAACAGGGTTACCTGAGCCCGGTAATAGTATTGTACATGTACACGTACGTTTCGTACCGACTCTCTCCGTATGGTATTAGTGTAACCCCAGCCCACTGACAGGGTACATACGAGAAGTAAATGATAGCAGCGACAGCTCAGCCATTGACCGTTGATCCGTCGTTCTTTTGAAGACGCCAAGGAGATCTCTCACTGGACAGCTGCTTTTATTTCGTTCAGGAACCTCCACCGCAGGGGGCCGCGAGTGTGACCTTCTTGCTTGTTCATGATACGTACCTCCTGTATCCTGTATCGCTTGCGTACTGTTAACTCAGTGTCAAACTTCCGCCTGCATCCGCCCTGTCGGGTTTTCTTCGAGATCACAAGTTCCAGTATTCGTATTCGGCAGCTGATGATTCCATCACCCTAGCAAAGGGCATTCTACCATTGGCCGAGTACCGGTATCGCACGTGCGTCGTGTGCAAAGCTTGACTGCTCAAGCTCAAAAGAAAAGTTCTGACGGCTGCATTGACGAGGAGCGTTGATCCTCGGGGCGCCAAGACTGAGCCCCTTCCTGGGATGTTGAGAACCTGGGAGGCTGGGAACTTCGGTAACCGGTCAAGCTGTGCCGTATATCCGGATATTATTAAAAGCTTAAAATATTTACATGGGGGGGCTTCCAGCAACCTAGAAAGCGCAGGTTTCATTGCTTACCAACCTGCACAGGCGGATTACGGTGCAGACCTGTTCCAGATAACCATTATAACTTCTACATACACTAGAGACTGTCTTCCATCGGACTTCGAGACACAGCAAGAGTACAGCCCTTGATTCACGATACTAAAGTTCCCGAGTAACCGGACATAAGCTGATGTTGGCTGACCTCGATCCTCGGATCTCGACCAACCCCATCGAACACTCAGCCGCGATGATTGTCATACAGAATGCGAGCCAGCCTGTCAACTTGGTCACTCACTTACTCTCTTGGTCGGCAAAGGAAGGCCAACAGTGCCATAAATATAGCTGGATCGTCGAGCTTATGATCCAACGGGAACTTGGAACAGTCTACAGGTTTAAGTCTGCGACCAACAATTTCTGCCTGTTCTATTTATTATGAGGAATTTTGCTATCATTACCCAATACCCATTATGGCTATACATCAAATTATTCAGGACTCGAAATGGTATCCAAAACACCGTCTATCCAAATCACAAGACAAACAAGGAAAGAAGACTAGCTAAAACGCCTAAACTCACTATCCACTCTGACCACAGAGCGCATCCCAAACTCCAGTACACCAACAAACAGGCTCCATCAAAGCCACCCAGCTTCAAATCAGCTAGAATCCTCATCATGACCAGGCCACATGATCTCGCGTCTCCGAACAGCCCTCAAACATCGCGCAGCAATAACAATCCAAGCAACAAACAAGCACGCCGTCATGACCGAACTGAACCACAACAACCCCTCGCTGCCAAAGACTTTCCCGACCCGAACAGTAGACAACACAAACCCAACATTAGGGAATATAAAACTCCACCAACTCAAGTGAAACCTCCGATCCGGCATGCCAGCCACGACAGCCCCTACCGCGCTCACAAAGAACCAGAAACTTAGTCCCCATAAGAAGACAGCCGACGTGAGGGCCACCAGACGGACTCCCGCGGCTACCATCTCTACCGGTATCGTATCGGGCCCTGCTGAAGCTGAAGCCAACCCCATTACCCAACTGACTTCCCTCCCCTGACTCGTCAACCCTCTCATAATCCCCTCGACCTGTTCCGCAAGACTGAGCAACGCAGCAGCCGTGAAACTGGGCGGCCCAACAGCAATAAACATACCCGGCCGTTGAACAGGCAACCCAAACGCCATAAGTCGACTCAAATACGTTGCGTAAAAGAACACAGAGACTAACATC